CTGGTTTTTAGAGGTTAAATTAAGCGAAAAAATGGCCGCCAATTTTTGGTGACTTCCAAAGTTTGAGAGTCAATGGTAACGTCAAATTTACTTTTTTGTGCCTTTGATCGACGTTTTCAGTAAAATCCTGACATGAATGTGTTTTTTAATGGACCTTAAAGGTGTTGAGCCAAGAAAAGAATTCTTTATTTAAATTGCCCAATGGCTATAAAAATGCAGATTTGTTTCATTTCAGTATTTTGACAAGCGCCTACTTTCACAACGATGCCTCACATAAATTTATTTTGAATAATTAAGTTCAGCTGAGACAATATTTTAAAGACACTAAAGACAGACTTAAGAAATGTGAGTTGGGCTGACAAAATGAGTTACTTCTAGGATGTTTGCCAAATGGAAATTGATATAATCAACTTTGTAGGTGGAGTTTGTACAATTTGTAAGTGTGGAAGAATAAAAAACACGGTAGATTCGAAGAAAATGGCAATATTTGAAAGTCTATAAATCTGACCCCATGTCGATTTTCTATCAAAATCTCCATTCTTGGATTGCGAGAAGTTATTCATTTTGTCAGCACTACTCACAAATGTTTATTGACTCCTGGACTGTGAAGAAGAAAGTAAGTGGAAGGTAGCTGAAAACAAGCAATGTATTAAACTAATTAATGTGACTGGCCAGTACCATTCCATGGCACAGAAAATGTAAATCTGCAGCTTTCAAGGACTCTCAAGCTTTAGAAGTAGCCTAACTAAACATTGGCAGCCGTTTTTTCTCTAATTTTTCTTCATGCAATCCCACCTCCTTCAATAAAAAATACTTCAACTTGTGTTCAAGATAGACGGGTACATTTTTCAACAAAAGCAAAGCAAATTTACAAGGTTTAAAGTAATATCTCTAACTTCATATGCCCAAAAATTGATGAGTTCCTGATTCCACCGGGTCGTGACACCAACATGTAGGCGCCACAGTAATATGACTATATACCTACATCCATTAATGAGCATTATCGGGTCATTGTGTTTCTCCTATACTCTTACACCCTCTCAATATAGGAGTCTGAGGGCACTACCTTTGTAGATCCTAAACTTTCTTCTTTCCCTCTTTTGTTCCTGTCTGTCTGGCTGTCTGTCTGTCTGTCTCTCTCTCTCTCTCTCTCTCTTCTTTCCTTCACCCTAGAACTGAATGATCTCAGTTTCATCAATATGCTTCTCTTTACTCAAATTCAAACTCAAACTCAAAATGTGATATCCACTGTTCAGACGAGGACGAATGTACGATGAACACCCACAACTGTCACAGTGTCTCCCAGGAGTGCAGGAATCTCAACGGATCCTTTGAGTGCATTTGCAAAGATGGCTACCGAGAGGTGGAAGGACGCTGTGATGGTAGGACACATTGTTTCTAGTGGAGGGGCGGAAGGGTTGGGGGGTTGGGAG